TTGTATTAAATTTTCTCAAGCGGCATTATTATAACGAATGATCCAGAGCATTTTAAGAATCTAATGCAAAAAGAATTTATTGAATTCGAGCTACTTTTATATGACAGTTGACAATTCCTCCCGTTGAAGTATTATCATTATCATCTCTTTACTTCTGAGTTTTCTGTATCATTTTTACATTACTATACTTTCATTTTTTGTAGTAACTGCTTTTTTTTTTATTGGATTTCTTCTTGATCTTTCTTTCTTCATCCATTACAAAATCTTTATAATAGTAACTGCATTTCATTTGTTCAAGTTTATTTCTTTTCTGTTTTAAAAGCCTATTTATCTGTTAGCTTATGTGTCTTGTTTCCGTATTGTATACTTACTACATGTGTGTATATGTACCTGTGTCTGTGTTTTTTTTTGATTAATGTTCTTTTATCGAATTTTTTTTCTTTTTCCTGGTATATCCACGTGATTCATTTCTGTTAGTCTTGTCCTTTCTTTAATTGTCTTTTTTTATACTGTGATTCTGAATTGGTGTATCTTTTTTGGATTGGAGTTTGCTCCAGGAAGAAAATTTATTTTTATACTGAGAAAAAAAAATAAATGAAAATTGTAGAGAAATGCCAGCAAAAATTTCCATTCTGTAAAGTAAATCGAATGTAAGCTGTCAAAAAACGGAAAATTTGTAATTTTTAACAGTAAAAATTATTGTTCGGACAGTTAAAATTATAGTTCGAAAAGTAAAAATTATGGTTAGTAAAATTTTCTGTGCGGGAAAGTAAAATTTGTTAACCGATCCTTTTGAGGTTTACTGTTCCAGCATGGTAATTTTTACTGTTCTAACCATATTTGAATAGTTAGAATAACTATTCAAACTATAAATTTTACTGTTAAAACAATAATCTTCACCGTTAAAAATAATAATTTTTTTTTTGCCAGCATGCTTCCGATTTACTGTGAAGAGTGGTAATTTTTGTTGAAATTTCTCTACAGTTTATATTATTTTTTTCTCTCAGTGTATCCGTCGTCAATTTTTCTCCCGAGCCACTTAGGGTCTTTAACGTCTATAACTGAATTCGCTCCCGTATATAATAGTGTGAATTTAAACTAACTGTTAGGGCACGAAGCGCCTAATACACCTTACTTTGTGTGAATATATCCGCTCGAACATACAAACAATAGCCCATTTACAATGATAGATCTTGAAATTTAAATGAAGAATGATAATAAATGTTAGTTTTTTGAAACGACACTTAGTTGTCGCAAAACTATTGGTAGTAAGTTTAGTTGAGCAGAAAGGAAAGTTGCAGTTAATTGCACACTCACTGTGTTGTGGAAAGAGAGGTTATTGAGCTATTGAAGATGGAATTTTTTTTAAAGTTAATCAGAAAAAGCTTGCACTTGACTATTTATTTCCTTTGCCTAGAGTTTATCAAATACCGTATTAAGTAAATGATGTTAACTCTAGGAGCACGTTCGTGACGGAAAGAAGAAAAAGGAAAAGACAAAGTTAACCATTTAGTTACTTTTGTGTAACTATTATTTTTAAACACTTTACTTTTACTTTTAAAAGAATTTTACACGCGAGGAACCAGCGCGAGGTGTTTGATGTAGAAGGTTAAAATCGCACTCGTGGAGGACCGTATGGTAGCGGAGGATTAGGATAGAATATCGTTAATATTTACTAATGCTGGACACTGTTCGTTTGTTCAACTAAACTTGTTGCAGAAAGAACGGAGAGAATCGCTTAATATTTCAATTAATGCTTGGGTGAATAAACGATTGGTGTGCTACGGTACATCAACTGATACTTAAACAGAAATAACGTTGGCCGTTGTTGTGACACCTTATAATGATAACATTAGTGTAATAATATGATATTAATAATAGTAATTATAGTAATAGTAGTGATAATTATGAAAGTAAGGGTAGTGCCATGGTAACTATAGAAGTACCTTGCATTTCGCGAGTTAACATAATTAAACTTACGGGTAGTTTTGACTGATTGCAAAAATAATTCGGAATTTCGGTAGAATTTTAGTGAATATGTTTTTCGCTTCGTAGTGCTCTGGGGATTTAGAAATTCCGTTACTTATATTGGAGCGGCCGCACGGACTCTCTCCCGACACATATGAGTCAAGAAAAGGGGAAAGAGCTATTGTTAATGATCAGCTCGGTTTTCCCGTTTTCTCTTACATGTTAAACGAGTTTAAAAATTTAGGCTATTGCGGATGGTATATTAAAAAATTCGGGAATGTAATAGAAAAAAGGTTAGCTCGGCGAGTTATGCATCTATAAAAACCAAATAAAAAGTTGATGATGTTGTTTTGTTAGGAGTGTAGTATGTATTATGATTTGTCTATACGTATTAACTCTACGTTATTCTAATTTTTAGCATCGTATCAAGTTGTGCCAGCATTTAGTATTGCACCCCAGTTTAGTTGTTCCCAGTTGGACTTTTTGCCTCTATTAGTTTTTAAAGTTTCGTTTCTCTGTATTGAAAAGTATTTTATTATCTTATTTGCTTTTCGTTTCCGGTCAGCATAGGCCAACGTGCGTTTGCATGAATCTCAGTTGGTCGATGTGCTGCAGCTACGAATAGAGTTTGCAGGGGATTTATCTCTTTTCAGATGCACGTTGGTCCCTGCTCAAAAGTACTTTTAAGCCAACATGGAAAATTACGAAGAATCGAGCGGGGAAAAAAAGTTATTAGTTATTTTAGTTCACTGAACCTACAATATTTAGAACTTGCAAAAAATTACATCAAGTTGGATTCGTGAAATAGAATAAAGATGCAATCGTGTAGATAGTTTACAGAAAAATAAATGTAAACCATCCATATGATTACTTCAACAAAAGAATTAGGGGTAGATGGGGGGTATTATTGCGGTTTTTTTAGTGGTTAGCTTTAAACGATTGTCTAAGAAATTAAGTGCGTTAAATTGTTCTGATTTTTTTTTTCTTAATGTTGGACTCAGAAACTATTGAATTCCACTTTTATAAATGTATAAACTCATGAATATCGATTTAAAAAGAGGTTTTAAAGTTCAGTTGCCCATGCTGATATTATTGTGGGCCTGTATGTATTATTGTACACGTATTATTGTGGTCAATTTTAATGCTAAATCAATCGGGTATCCGCAACAATACCATCATAGTGAAAGAAGTTATGTGTGCACCAGTTATTGCGGACGTGATTTTTTGTTATACAAATGTAAAGTTTTTAACGCTATTTTGAAACTGAAGTTCGATTAATTAGATACTCTATACCTTAATTTAATGATTTCATCAAGTGTTTACTAGCCATAACTCATTAGTTCAATTAAAATATATGCATTATTCGAGAGTACCACAATAACTGGAGCAACCGCTAAAATACCCTCGTTTACCTCTATGATGATACAATTTGATTTTTTCATTTTAATTTTTTTTTCACACCATAGTATGTACTCTGAATCAGAGAAAAATGAACCAAAAGTTCAAATAAAAGGCAACCGAAGACATTTTGACTCGACCATCAAAAATACTACGAGATGAACTGAAGATGGTGGATGTCATGATACCTACTTTAGCATTTACTTGTCGACGTAGTTTACTGTCAATATTACCTCGAAAGTTGCCAAAAAAGACTTTTCACTTTCATGATCGTATAAAGGAACGTTACCTTTTTACCAATAACTGTAAAAAGTTTGTACTTGTAAACGCTACAAAAACTTCCATTATTCTCATTCTCAACTGTCACTAACTGGAAGTTCCTGTATTCTCTAAAACAATTTCTGCTGATGAAACTTTTTACATCCATCCTAAATTTTTCGATGATCTTTCCTCTGTACAAGGACTGCACAACAATGAATAGATTTTGCTAGTCTTCTTTTTATTTCCAGACAAGACCTCTTACAAGTTAGCATTTTTTAAGAAGTGAATCCAAAAAAACTCAACTACAATTAAAACTTAGTATAATTTTCGTCGATTTTAAACTATCTACCATTTTTGTGTTTGTACAATATTATCAACAAAATAAATTAAACGTTCTCGTTTTCATTTGGAACAAAATGAGTAGTAAAAAATTTGAAAGTTAGAATTGAGTGTTAATAAAAAAAGTTAAAAAATAATTTAAAAATTTTTTTTTTTAATTTATAACATTTTATTACCCAAGTACTTAAAATCGATAGAGAAAATTCTAAGATCTGAGATATGACGTCATACATGCAGTTTTTCAACACATCTCTAGGAAAACTTCACCTTGACCGAAACAAAAAGTTTTTTCACGAAAAAGCAATATAGCATGAATTTGAGAATACAAAAATCTTACGTTACTTTTGCACATTATAATGCTACTGCAGTGTTAAAAAGAAAATATAGTTAAGTTGGCACCCTTGCATTCATATTGAAACTAGTTTACATATTATCTCAAAAACCTAATGAGTATATATACATATATATCACAGTTCTTCTAAACCAAAAAAAGCATACTATAGCTTTATTTAACTGTACAACTCTGATCAGTTAATTTCTTGTACGATTATATATTATCTACATTTGCGTCATTCGTTGATGATTTTATCGTATTTAAATTATGTAAAGAGCCGTGGGCACGTGATTACATACTATATTTTATTTTTCATTTACTGTATGCACGTGTTAAAATGAAGATGCTATTGATCATAAATTTATAAACCTAAAGTTTATAGTTATTTGAATAATAGTACTTGACATTTTTTTCCATGCAAATACTATCTTACGTAAGAGTTTATCAGCAGACTATTACGTCACAGAATTTTGGTACAAAAAAAAAATTTATCCGCAAAAGCGATAGAAACGTAAAATTAAGGTATATTTCGATAGGTCGCTGAAACGAACAGTTTCAATATTTTTTTTATTGGATACCATTGCACCAGTTTCATATTATAACGTTCATCCCCATGCATAAACTATGTAAGGTTGACACTAGTCCCATAAAAATGTGTACTTACGTGGAAAAACATATAAAAATAATCGAAACAACTCACGAGTCCAATGAATATGCAGAAGAGTTGAATGACGTCGGTATAAGCTACGGAGTAGAGGCCGCCGAAAAGGGTGTAGAAGACGGCGATGCAGGCACTGAGCACCACCGAGGTCCCTTGCTCCATGTCAATGATGACGGCTAGGGTAGCCCCGAGAGCCGCGAGGATGCCCGCGGCCCAAAACACCTCGCCGCACAGGGCTGGTAGAAACAGGAGCCCACCCATCCGCTCGCCGAACGCGTCCTGCAGCGGGTCCAGCATCGTTATGTAGCCCTGCTGCCGCATCTTGTTCGCGAAGAACACTCCACCTGCGCGCATCATCAGTCGACCCATACGTTTACTTATTGGCATATATTATCATCGTGCATGGGAATCTCTGCTTTTTGTGTCTTTGATGTTGCGTGTGTGTAGATAGATAAACGTGTGCGGAAGGATCGAAAGCAGTAAACGTACTCGGATGTGGGTGAAAGTTGTTGATGCCGCTGTTGTCACTGCTTTCGTGCACGTGTGTTCAATAAGGTATTACCATCGAGCGACGGGCACTACGTTTGACGCGTCACGCCACGAGTCTCAATTTACGAGTCGTGCTAAATCATCTGTTTCCTGATTGGATGCCTGCACTTTTCTACCAGTATACTTGTAATACTTTCGTTGGAAATATGTGTACTTGCATGCAGCGTTAAAAATCACGGAAATCCACGGATATTATTTTATAACCACGGCGAGATGAAAAGTTCGTGTGCACAAACACGACAACCACATGTATCCATCATTACCGGTGAATGTTTTATTTTATGCATACATTTAAGTTTTCCCTTAAAATTTTAAACTTAATTGTGCGGATGTTTTATGTAAAATTCCAATGGAAACTTTTTTGTACAGTAGCAATAACGCATATGTACACTAATATAGGCAAATGAACCGAAAACATCTATGAGCACTTGATACAAAAATCAAACAGGCGTTAATTAGGAGCCGAAAAGGCCTTCGTGTAGTGTAGACACGAGCCCCAAGCCGGAGGGGGAACGACCGTATGGAAGCCGGGGTGACCATTAATTTTTTGGCCTTAACGTGATAATCGATGGCGGCCGCAGGGACTCGGCAAACTGTTACAGCGTTAATCCTTTGCGGCGTAAGGGAGTGTGTACCTTGTATATGTATACATGTATAGAGGGGTGTATGGAGGGGTTGGCTAACTGTATACAGTAGATGCAGATGTGTACGGGGAGGAGCTTTTGGGCAAATACAGATGAGGAGTTTACCGAAGACGAGGCTGAGGGAGTAGCCGAAGGGCGCCTGGCACCAGACAAGGCCGCGGGTGTAGATGGCCTCGGCGGTGCCGTTGATGTACCCACCCCCCACCCAGGTCGCGGTCATCGTAAATATGCCGACGAAGAGGCCGATGGAGCGGCCGGCGAGCATCACCTCCTCCTCGGAATCGTTGCCCGCCTCCTTTTTCCGGGCGGCCCATATTCCCACGCCCAGGATCAGCAGGTAGAAGAGCACGATGGAGACTACGCCCGCCACGTTGATCATCTTCGGCGCTGATGACGATGATATCTCCACCGGTGAGAATTCCAGTTGGCGCGGAACGAGATCCAAGAGGCTAGGCAGTCGGTCGGACTTGCCAAAGCTTGGAAGCCTGGAAGTTGGAGACAAGCTTTTATTTACACTCGACAAAAAGTGTATAATTGACATACTTCTATAGTAGCATCCGCGGTTGATAAGGATTTAAGGTGCTCAGGGGTTGGACGATCAAAGATTTAATTGTTTTGTTAATTTCAAAAGTATTCGATGGTGATGTTGCTGCTGCAGTTCAATTATTACTTCTAACGGAATATACTGTGTGATTAACAATTAATTCAATGGAGAGGAAGAACGAAATGTGATTTTCATTGTTCCGTTTTATTTACCATTAAAGGGCTCCTTTTTTGTACGTTTCTTGCGTTAGCTTCCAAACTTTAATAAAACATTAAGCTTTTATAATTTTTAAAAAAAATTAATTAATTAATTAATGGTTTCTTTAGGATTCGATTTTCTTGAAGTCACTTTCATTGAGGTGTATCGACTTGTATGTATTGAAAATCTCGGTGAATGTAAATTGTACACCTCATAGAGTCGTGACGTGTAAGCAAAAAATTGTCAATAAAACCAAACTATGCACGCAGTTTTTTGTCACTTTATGAAAAATTACTTTTACAAAGACAATATTTTCCCGTGTGTACCAGGCATACGTGCAACAGCTTACCTCCCATTTCTGGTAGTGAGAATCAATATAAAATTTGACTATTTTTGGGCTTATATTTATACGTCCAAATATTCATTAGATCTCGCAAGACTAGTACTCAACTTTTTATTAAAATATATAAATGGTCTTCATTATAATGTTTGTAAATATATCAGATAGTTCTCCAAGCAATACAGTGTTAAACGTTGAAAGTTTGCAGTGCAATAGTCTTTTTTTACACAGTTACTACTAATCTATTCAATTTGATCAAAATCTAACGGGTAACTTTAGTACCGAGAGCAATAACTTTAGATAATTGTACAATCATACATTTTATTGGTGAAATGTGATATTCGGGTGCTAATAAATCAAAAATTATTTTTTCTAAGGTAACTGCAGGTAGAAGAGAGCTACGAATTTCTCTAATGCTCGTTGGATAGTACAAATGAAAATTTTTATCGAATGTTTGAAATGTAAGGTATTATTATCATAAACGAATTTGTTTTAAACGTAATATCCTAATTTTTACGGTCCTCGAGATAAGGGATAAAAGCGTATGGTAGGTCAGCCGTACCTCTGAAGGCCCCTGGGAGTGCAGTCACGCAAGAGCGGGGGGCAGCCTCAGACGGTGAAGGTCGCCATGTCCTGATATCTCCTGGGCTTCCTGAGCGCTGTTGCAACTGGCCTGGCTCCACGGGGTGGATGATTGTAGTTGTAATTGTTCTTGTTTTTGTTGATGTTTTTATTGTTGCTGAAGATGATTCTGCTGCTGCGTCTGACGCTCCGAGCTGCCGCTGCTGCCTGCACCAGCGCCCGCAGTGGAGGCTCGAGGTTCCGGGGGCAGCAGTCACCCCAGCGGAGTGAGGTCTTCTGGGAGGGGCTGTTCCGCGTTCTAAACCCCAGGCCGCCCATGGGCGCTGATGGCCATCGATTTGCGCTACTCCGTGGGTTTAATGACTCTGCCTCCTCTGCCCCCCCCTCCTGCAGCTGTCGACCTTATGACTGGCGCGTGGCTGTTATTTATGCCACTGTGGTTGGTAGTACTGGACCACCTGGGGCTAACACCTATGCTGGACACTGTCAGGATCGTTCGTGGCTCAGCTTCATAGGCATCTATCAGGAGTCGAGTAACTTGGTATCTTCTGTAATACGGAACATTAGGTATTGTTACACGTACATAATTGTGGAAAGCTGTGAAAATTTTTTTAAGGATACGTACATTACAGTTTTAAAGGAATAGTATATTACTCACCTAGGGAGGAAAAATAAAGAATGTCTAAGATTGCAGGCAATTGACGCCCGAGGCGAAGCCGAGGGCGATAAGCATGCGATCTGAGGGATTCTTTGTTTCCTCCCGTGGGTTGTATACAATTTTTCATCAATCCTGCGCCGAGAGAATGGATTTTCGTTCCGCGAAGCGGGACGAAAGTTCCTACTTTCGGCGTAGTATGATGAAAATTACTTTTTTATACAAACAGTAAAGCCGTCGTCAAAACATATAGCGTTGGCTATCATAAATTACGGTTTTATATGGCAACTTCGTTTTATGTTTGATGTATGGTTTGAAAGAAAAAGCATTTTGTCAATAAACTAAAAATTACTGGACAGATTGAAACTCTTCAAAAATAAAGAGAAAACATTTTAATGCTTGATACTTCACAATGTATTAATAAAACACCCAATACATCAGACAGTACAATAAACAAAGATGAAGTGGAAATGGATACATACTAGAAATTGTAAAGAAATTTAATTGTAATGACAGTGATGGAATGTATTAAGGTAGACAATAGGTTGATCAGAATTTACAGATTCAAAAGACATATTGTAGATGATCCGAACAATTTTTTATTTTAGATGAGGAACAAAGTGAAAACGTAAAAATATTTTCAGAAATCTTTTCTTATCTTACTAATATATAAAGCAAAGTCGCTAAAACCATTGTAATCGCTAACCGCGAAAACTACTGAACCGATTTTGCTGAAATTTTGCATACTGATTCTTGATGATTCCGAGAAGGTTTTCGCATAGTTTTTTCTTGAAAAAATTAGTAACAATAGCGATAAATAAGCTCAAAGTTTTGCTCAAATAATCTAGCTTCGTAGGATCCGCTAGGTGGCGTCGAGGTAAAATTGAAGCTACCCGCAATCAAAGATACTGAAGAGTGGTTATGTTTTATGTACCTATATGAATACAAAAAAAGAGTGTAAACAAACGACATAAGCAGTTTATTTTTTCGTCATAAACTGTTTATAGATAAATTACAATAATGGTATCCTTAAAATATTGGCTACCCTTTATTTATTCATTCATTAAGATTATATGATAAAAAGTCTAAACGGGAAAGTCTGGACCAAGAAGATTAGACTAGACCGAAAATTGTGCAATAAAATGTGCCTAGTTGTTTATTGTTTTTAAGTCTGTTATTTTTCGTCGTCTACTCGCTAGTTAAACACACAAATGCATTTTCTGTAAATGTATTAGGTGAAAGTACTGACATGCTTTTTAACTCACAGTGCTTAAAAATTAGCTTTTCTCCATCACAAAATCGTTAGACCTCCTTACATTATTATAAAAATTTGTATATATTTGAATAGAAGCATAACATAGCATGACGCCCAGTAATAGTTTCCTGTTGCAAGGTAGTATTAGACATAGTAAACCTTCATGGTTGAAGTGCCATAATTTACCACATCACTAACTCCCTACTACACATACTAGCTATATACATGTGTACTAGATCGTAAAAGGGGTGGTCATAACACATTTAGAGCATGACTTTTCATGAATCCATACGTAGATATTTTCTATAGCTGATAAATTATCACGCCTCATAGTAAACATACTTAGGGCAGAAGTATTCTCGTACAAAGGATAATATTTAAGATCTTTTTTTTAATATCTAGAAACAATTCTGAGCTCTTAGTACTTTGTATTTTTAAATATATTTTTATAACTAACAATTAGGTATGTATTTACTGTTATAATCTAGCTATTTAAATATTTTTTCCGCCCTCAGGTGGTTTTGGGAGGCTGGTACTTCCTCGGGCAAAAAAGCAGTTTTCCGATACTCGTTCAAAAAGTCTTCTTTACGAACCTCGTTACGGACCTCGCCTTCGGCTCGGGTCGCAAACCTCTCGGTTCGCAAACAAGGACTTTTCAAACTCGTAGGAAAACTACTATTTCGCAATAGTGTGCGGAAAATGGGTGTTTTCCGCACTGGTATTAGTGTGGAAAATCGATTTTCCCTCATAGTGTGCGACAAAGGTGTGCGGCAAAGATTTTTCCGCACAGTGTGCGGAAAAGATGTGTGGCAAAGGTTTTTGTCGCACAGTGTGTGGAAAAAGTGTGCGGCAAAGGTTTTTGCCACACAGTGTGCCGAAAAGGTGTGTGGAAAAGGTTTTGCCACACACCGGAAAAAATTTTGCTACACACTGGAAATCAAAATTCAAACCTATTTTGTACCTATTTTCCTCACACATTGCGAAAAAACTTGTACGCAACTCGTGCGGGACGATTTCCCGCACTCGTGTGATAGACTCGCACTCGTGGCCGGTGACGGTAACTCGTACCTTGCAATCACACTCGTGCTACGCACTCGTGTGCTCAACTGGTACTCGTTCCCGTCAACTCCGGCACTCGTGTGAGTCAATCACTACTCGTGCGGGAAATCGTCTTTTCCGCACTTGTTACGTAAATAACTATTGAAATCGATCGAAAAATGGTTGGCACAATTCTGGAAAAATTGCAAAACAACAAATTATTTGACACTTGAAAATAAAATAAATTAATTTATATAGAGAAACTTTTATTACTTAGCCCCTTGAATGGAGTAAGTTTATAATAGATTTTCACATGCATGAAAATTTGTTGTTGTATCGAGAAAAAAAGTATAGAAAACCTTAATACTTTACAGCTCGAGATTATACTATTGACAATTGTATTCAGAAAATTAATAACATTTTCCTACCTCGGGCGCTTTTGAGAGGCTGGTGTGCTCTCGGTAGGAAAAATAGCATTCGCCACATAAGCGCCATCGATCCGTGGCTACCTTACGTCCCTCGGGCCCTGCTTCGCAGGTCCCTTGGGCCGCAAAATAACCCCGGAGACGATGGCACTTATCCGACGAAAACTACCATTGTTTTTGATGTATGTTTATCTACATAGTAGTGTGGATGCTGCTAAATCAGCTATACTTAGAATAATCAAGTTGTCTACGTTAATGCAATAGTTTATTTCCCCTTTTAGGTATTGTCATCTAGATGGTAACCCCAGATTTAACCACCTTACATGCAAATCAATTAGTAAGAAATCTAGAAACGTTACTAATTACAAAAAGCAGTTGAAATTTTCAATGTTTTTAAATTATTTTCACAAAACGTTATCAGGCTTTGAAAATAATGTTTTCTGAATATTTAAAAAAATGGGCTATTAAGATGCAGTACTGCCGTACATAATGCATGTCTGTCGTTGATCAAACCCACGCCAAAATATAGGATTCAAAGTGTTACTCAAGAAAAAAAATGTTTGCTTGGATTAAGCACGTCTCAACTGTAGACAAACACGTGTTTCATCTCTATATTTAACTCAACCTTACTCGAACTATAAAGTACGACTGCGTATAATTTATTTATTCAGAAATCCTATACATACGTTTAAAAACGGGTTTGTAATATTTATGGTGAATGCTCTTGATAAACTTAAGGTCATTGTTTCGTACATTTTATATTGTTACTACTCATAAATTCATGCTTTTAGAATGAATATTTCCAGATGTTTTACTATGTTACTTTATTCAGCTCACGAGTATTTTTTGATTTAAATAAAAATGCTAACAGCATGCAGACTTATAATATTATATTAATTCGAAAAATGATGGGAAAAAATGGACTTTATTATTTTCAAACCATTTATATTTATTCTTTGGAATATGATGTATGTTGCAACTATCCATCATAAAACGGCAAACAGCGCGGTTTGCGAAGTACGGGGGGTAGTAGATGATCCCCCTCTCTAATATTTTTGGAAATTATGTTAAACTATAAAAAAAACAGAAAATAAAAAATTGAGTTCAATGCATTCTAAAGTCAGTGACTTATAGAAAAAAAGTTTCATTGAATCAAACAATAATCATACGCTACAGTTTTTTTCAACTTTATTATTTAAAGAGGTTCCAGTTTCTAGGGCCCTAGTGTCACAGACCAAGACACACGCTACCATATAGTTGAAATTACGCTGAATATAGTGGTGCCCTTTTTTATGCCCCTAATCGATCGAAATTTCGTAATTTTGAGCTTGATGTTAACTCTTTTAACTTGTATAATTATAATGTTTAACGTACTAAGTCCTGTAAATTGCAAACTCAAACGAAAGTGTCTGTCACAACGAGTTTACAGGTCTTATGAATTAAAAGTTTATCTTTCCAATGTTATTTTATGTAGCCATTCATTTTCTTAAAAATCAGTTTGAACCTTGTGATCTGGCGTAAAAGCAAAGTTGCACATCATTTGACTCATAATAACAAAGCTACCCATCAAACCAAAACTCAATAAAATATATGTTAACATACATAACGCACATGGTCATATTCTCCATAGGGATACCCAGGATTCAGCATTTTTTTTCAATAAGTTTTGTTTTAAATGAAAACTAGACTACGAATGCTTCATTACAGTTTTTGCTTTCGTAAATAAGTTACTGCAAAAAAGTTGTATCTGCCAAAAAAATAAAGTAACCATTCCATATAGACCAGTCCCCAACATGAGTGGCTATAAGTGTCAGTGTACTCTCTGCAGATACTCATACAATTGACTTTGCTATGCTGGTCAAATATTATGGCTAAGCCAAACGTTACTTTGCTGGCTGTATTAGTTTTATCAAAATGTGCATCCCCTACTTTTTCAATACAATTCCAACCTCTTACGTAAATGAAGGATTGAACAAATTAGTATGAAGTAATTCAACAATTTCTGTTCACGATAAATATAATTTTATTGAAATAGTTTAAAAGAATTGCAAATATTTTTGTTTACAATACATTTCTATTTTTATTATTTTTTATTTTTAGACTTACATTTTTTACTTCTCACGAAGTCAATATTACATGCTTATTTTTATAACTCTATACTATAAGTTTGTAAGC